TATTTCCTTTCTTGTATATCTATGAAGGGAAGACAAACTTCTAATCTGTGCATGTTAGGAAATTTTTTTTTTGGTACCGGGGATTGAACTCGGGTCCTTGTGCTTGCACAGCAGGTGGCGAAACCACTGAGCTAAATCTCCGCCCCAGGAAATTTTTTGAGAAAGTTGAGGCAGTTACTTATTCAGAACTCATTAATAAGAAAAATAAGAGACAAACAAAAATGTAACTGGGTTTTTCATAGAAATTCCTTAAAACCCCCAGGAACATTTATGTGTGCACATCTATTACACATGTAAATATACACACATAGGAATAATGCACACGCGTCTCCCCACACACATATGTACGTGGTAGAGACAGGGCCACAGTTGGGAGGTTGGGGTTGAGTTCCGGTTCTCCCCCTGACAGCCCATGTGGTCCTCAATAAGACACAATTTCCTAGTCTGCAAAATGAAAACTACTACTTGCTCTGCATAACCCAAGGGCTTGTTATGAAAATTAAATCTGACAATGTAAACGCTTCGTAGAGCGTTACTCAAATTTTTGTTGTTTGTGCTAAATATTGGGGATGCTGAGCGTCTCCTTACATCTGTGGGCATGCCGGCCTACAGGACAGCTCCTGGGTGCCCATGGGAACCACAGGCAGAGCCTGAATGCACAGTGGCGTGGGTGGGGAACTCCATGATTAAAAGCTTTAACTGACCTCGAAGGTACCTGAGGCCCTGTGCCCGGCTCTGAGAAGAGCATTAGCCAAGGTCAGCAGCAGCATCCCAGTGCTAGCTTTGGCCTATTTGGAAGCTAAAGAACAGCAGAAGATTAAACAAAAATATAACCCTCCATCCTGTGTTGCGACTTCCAAAATGACCTTTCAAGGCCTCGGTGCCTGAATCGGGTCGCGCAGCCAGCGCAGCCACGCAGAGGAGGGTGGTCTCTTCCAGCTGGTGTCCTAGCTGGGGAGTGGTGTGCTGCTCCCTGTCACTGAGACCATCAGCCACAGGCGGGTGCACAGGCCCTGGCCGAGCAGGGCCTGACGTCTGTCGAGCTCTGTCGGTAAGGTTGACTTGAAATTCAAGGGGAAACCAGGTAAGGGTGCAGGTGGCCCAACCCGGGTTCTTCTCCGCATAGATTCCAGGTGTTGGCTGGACACTCATGACGTGAGAGGCACCGCGGCAGGGGACACTGGGGCTCAAAATAGGGTACATGCTTAATGGGCAAAGGTTCCCGTCATAGTGACGCTGGTGATGACAGTGATGGCGGTGTCAGAACACATCGGGTCCGGTGGGAGGTAGCAGACAGGCACGGAAACAACAGGGTACATGGGAAGGTACGGGCATTCCCTATGTCCTAGGAACTATTTGTTTTTCAATGCTCAACTTGATTTTCTGTTACCAATCAAGTGCCATAATTAGGGTTTGGGAATCTTCAGAGGGAGATTTAGAGGAATTTACTCCAAGCATTTCATGTTGTTTACAACCCTAGAACTTTAAAGGGGGAGAGATAGCAGAGAATATCTACTTTCACGCTTTTATTTCATGGATTAGGAAACTTAAGGTCAAGGAGATAAAATGATTTGTTATAAAAGGCAGAACCAACACAAAATTTAATTTTCCTAATTCTTAATCCTGGAATTATCTATCATGCTGGGTTTGGAAAAAAATTTTTTGTAAAGGAGATTTATAGGAAGCAAAATTTCTATTTTTTGTTATCTGAAAAAAGTGGTAGGGCTGGGGATCTAGCTCATTGGCACCACACCTACCTAACAGGCACAAGGTTGTGAGTTCGATCCCTGGTACCAAAAAAAAAAAAAAAAGTGGTAGAATTTTGCTAGTAAGAGACCAATAAATCCAATTCTGGATTTCTGTTGTGGTTGTTCTCTTGCAAAGCTAAAAAAATTAAAGTTAAAAATATTATGTGCTTTGAAGAAAACCAATTTGAAGCGAGTGCATTTTGTCACCAATAAATTTAAAATTTTCTAATTTTAGTCATTCACTTTTAAAATCTGAGCTATTTCATTGTTAATTTTGCCTAAATAAAATTTTGGGGTTGGGGGTATAGCTTAGCAGTATAGTCCCTACCTAGTAAGCATGAGGCCCTGGGTTCAATTCCCAGCATTGTAAAAAATGGAATAGAATAAAATAAAATAAAGTTTGATAGTTTAAGTGAAGCATGCAGAAACATGAAAATAATGTAAACTATACGTGCATAATTGGCATAAAACCATAGACAAGAAACACATTTTTAAATCAATATCCAAAAGATGATTCAATGTAAATCTTAACAGATTTATTGGGAAATATTGCATTTGTATTGAGAGTTGGCAAGACTGATTTTGTACTTAATTCTATAACTAAGGAAGTAACACAGATGAGCCGAAGTAGTTACTTGTAACTAGACGAAGGTGCACTGTCTCACTAGTATGTCAGGCCAGCCTTTCTCAAAGTGTGGTCTGCAGATTCCCAGCATCAATTCAGTCCAGATTCTGCAGAACAGCTGACTTCTGAGTCTTTCCCTGAGTTACCAAGTCAGAACCTGGGTAACATTTTCTGGTTGTTGATGCACCTGAAGTGTCCCCAGAGCCTCGCGTTCTTGTAGGCGGGAGTTTGGGCAGGTGACTGGATTATGGGTCTTACAGCTGACTTACAGTTAGGAGGCAGGGTGTGCTCAGAAGAGGTGCAGGATCATTGCAGGTACATCTACCTTTCTGGCTCCTCCCATCCCTCGCTCTGCTTCCTGTCTGCCATGAGGTGAGCAGCTGTCTTCCACCAGGCCCCTGTGCCTCGCCATCATGGCTGGGAGCCCCTGCCTATGGACTGAAACATGAGTCAAAGTAAACTTTTCCTCCTTTAATTTGCGGGTGTTAGGTATTGTGTCAGCAATGAAGAAATTAACTAAGACATACACACTAGGGGTATTTTCAATGGGGCAAAAATATGTTTCTACTAAATACTGCAGTCATCGATAAGGAAGTGTTTAGTCTCTAACCACCCCTGGCTTATTTTATTTTCAGAACTGAGATTCCAATTTGCCATAAAATATTTGCACTTGTTTTTATACGGTGTCGTAGGGGCTCCCAGAGCCTTGTGTTCATCACACTCCTTAGCAAGAAGACTTCATGAAATACATGAGTACAGTAGGTGTTCTTCAGGAAGCAGGTTCATTACCAAAAAGTGCCCCACTAAAATAAGGATCGTATTCTGAAGCCTACTTTGCTGACTTTTGCAAATGGGATACAGCAGAGACACTTAAAGCCTTTATCTGTGTTCCATCATTTGTATTAGTGGGTGTGCATAGACATCGTTATGTATCATGCTACCCTGTTGCAAATACTGATGTGCCTGGTGATTTTTGTATTTTTGTTTTCTATTATGTCTTTTTCAAAGTGTAAAAATAAACACATCATTTCCAATGTGAAAGAAAGTTTTCAGTGAATTTAAATCCAATATATGAGAGGCCATTGCCTTAGCCTGAGTCCCTGCCCTAACCCCAACAGTCTGAACTCTAATGGGGTCGTTGATGCTGAGGTTCCCCGTCACCAAACCTCAACGGAGCTGTTCATCTGATCTCTGAGGGCTCAGGGTCAGAAGCCACCCAAATCCCCAGAGAGGCCAGTACCCTACCACAAGGAAGACCACTCCGGTTAATCTGTACTAGGAAAGTAACCTGCTGGTAACACATTCGCTTTTTGTATTATGCTGCTTCTGTTTCTGCTCAAGCTACTTTATGAAAACAGACTGTTCCGTTCTGGCCAGCATAGATGAAACCCTCTTGATTTGTCGATGGTGAATAAAAGCCAAAGCAGGGCATTTAACTACATGTGTTGAAATTTCGTCTTTTGACAGTATGTAAAAATGGAGGGAAACACGTGAGCTCAGCTGGAGGAGAGAGCCGAGAGAAAGACATTTGCCAGTTCTTGCCCCATGTCTTTCACCATAGTGTGGTGCTTTGGTATCTACTTTCTCAGGCCCTGGGCTCTGCTCGTTATACACAGGCACAAGCGGTGCCTGACTTCCGGCTCCACGACCCCAGCCTTGTTCCTCGGCCTTCACCTCTGGCCAAGTTCTGGCCTCCACGTCCAGCTGTATTCTGCGCATCTGTGTCAGAGGGAAGCGTCTGTCTGCATTTCCACAGCACTATACAGAGGCCCTGTCACTGTAATTGGCAATAATGCCACGGAGCAGAAGAGACAACAATCTTAAATTTCTGGAAAGAGTAACACATACTTGCCAGTTTATTAGTTTAGCCCTAGATTTTGGCTGAGAAAAGCAGAGTTCCACGTTGCCCATCTGTTGTTCAATGTAGTTTAACCCAAGTGCCCACTTATAGTGACTATAATTAATTATACGAACTCAACCCACTTGCAGCTAATTCAACTCAAGCACCCGTTTCCCTGGGCAAACTCACAACCCACACCCCCATATTTCGGAATCCGGATAGGACAGTGATCTGTACCGCGTCTAAACCAGGTTCTCTAAGTAAAAATCGCATCCGACCGCGCGGCCCGGGAGGCACCACCGCGCCCAGCCGCTCCGAGGAGGTTAGGAGCGGCCCGGGCCCACTCGGCTCCGCAGGAAGCTGGTGGGATGGAGCATTTCCCTCTTCTCCACTCCAAACTGACCCCTTCCGTTCTAGAGCGGGGACTTTGCAAGCTGAACGGAGGACGCTGTGACGGCCGCCAAAGCCGACCAGACTCCAAATCCCACGAGTGCGCATGCGCGGAGGGCTACGCGCTGAGCCGAGACCGGAAGTCCTGCGAAGGTAAGGCGCTCGCCGCTGAGGGAGGCGAGGAAGCGCTCCGCGGAGGCGCGGCCTGGGGCCATCCCGGGCCATCCCCGGGCCGTCCCGCTACATCCCGCTCCATCCCGCCGCATCGGGGCCATCCAGCTCCACAAGAGGAAACCAGCCTCAAGCCCAACCACTTTTCTTTCCCAGGAGAACAATTCTTTTTCCTTCTGTTTTAAAAGCCTTTATAATTCTTTCAGGCCTTTTTATGACCTGTGTTCCTAGATCGGACACTCACATAGGCTGCTCAGGCAGTGATGTGTAGTCTGGGATGCTCTGAGGGGACTGCATGGGGGTCTGTTTGACTTTGTGCAAAATTTAAGGATAGACAAGTTTTTTAGGAGAGTGATTTCATAGCCACCATTAGATTCCAAGTCTCATCAGTAAAGATTTGGCAACCTTGGGAAACTGAACCAGGCTGGCTCCCTGGGGCTCCTGTTCTGAGATTCCAGGCCCAGTTTAATGAAGCAGGGAGGAGGAGCCGATCCTTTCTCCTAGAAAGCGAAGTGCTTTAGTGTTGATAAAAAATCTAGGGGCTGCACTAGTTGGGGTGAGTCCTCCGGTCAATCTGGCACCTGCCTGTTAATGATGGACCGCTGCTCATGTCGGCCCCGTGGGCGAAGGCCGTGTCTGAGCTGCCGGGCAGTGCGCCCATATCTAGGGGCGTGAGGTCAGTTATCTTGAGAAAGGTCAAGCTGGACCGGAAATGGCCGGAGTTGGTTAAGAATTTCCAGTAGTTCCTAATTTAAATGGCATGTTATCGCTTTCCAAGGGATATACCTATAGCACTACCTTCTTATCAAAGGATAATTCTAGTATGCAAATCTGTGAAAGTACTGTGTAAACTGGCAGAATAGAAACCGCTTTTATGGTCACTCAACTTTTCTCTCTCCACCTGAGAGTTGGAAATACAGCCTTCTCATGGTCAGTTACAGCTAATACCAGTGAGAGGTACCCTACTCTGGGCTAATTAGTGAGATCACAGTTTATCTTCAAAAATAACCATCTGGCTGTTCTTTGCTCTTGTCATTGTGCAGATGTCAACGAATGTGCCCTTTGGAACCATGGCTGTACTCTTGGGTGTGAAAACGTCCCAGGATCGTATTATTGCACATGCCCTGCAGGATTCATTCTGCTTCCAGATGGGAAGCGATGTCATGGTAAGCCGCAGCCACAAGTATTTCTTGTATCAGTTTTCAGTAACGTTTCTAAGATGGCTGTAACCTAGGTTGGTGGTCTGCAGTGACAAGTGTGCATCAGAATTACCTTGGAATTTTATTTTTTGTTTGCTTTTAAAAATATGGATAACTGGGCTCCACTACAGACCTATTTAGAACCTCTGTGCTTTGTAAATATATCCACCCAAAAAATGTACACACACTTCAGGAAAAGAAAAATAATAAATGTCTAGAAGCTAGGGCCACCGCTTTGAGCAACCCTTGTAATTGTAGAGGCCAAAAGTAACGTGTTAATCTCATGATGTTTCAATAAACTTAGTATTAAGATATGTATACAAAAAAATAGTAAAATTTGGGGCTGGGGATTTAGCTCAGTGGTTCTGCCGCCTGCCTTGCAAGCGCATGGTCCCGAGTTCGAATTAAGATATGTATACAAAAAAATAGTAAAATTTGGGGCTGGGGATTTAGCTCAGTGGTTCTGCCGCCTGCCTTGCAAGTGCATGGTCCCGAGTTCGATTCCCGGTACCAAAAAAAAAAAAATAAATAAAAGAGCAAGGGCTGGGGATTTAGCTCAGTGGCTCTGCTGCCTGCCTTGAAAGTGCAGGGACCCGAGTTTGATCCCTGGTACCAAAAA